AACAAGATTTGACATTGTTGACTTTCACTTTTTTTGTCTTCTTTTCTCTTCACCAGTCAGCCGGCGGCCGAGGGAGGAAGAGTTAAGAAGAGGAGCTGCTTTCAGACGGGTTAGACCATGTGGCTTCTGTGCTCCTCCCTGACTCTGTTGGTCGTCAGTTTCGGATCATGTGACACTCTGACGACACAAGAAGGTAAGTTTCAAAGTTTCCAAGTCGTGGCTTTTTTTCTGTCATAAAAAGAACCAGCGCGGCATTTTAGCGGTGACCATAATAATTAACAACCTTTAAACTTTTTCATTGTATCACCTTACAGCAACAAGCTTCAATTATGTGCTGCAGTTTTATGTGCACATGCAGCGCATATGTTGTGAAGTGGAAGGAAGGAAAGAAATGGTAATAAAAAATGTAATTATGTAATTTTAGTCAGATAGCCCTAAATGCCATTAACGTCAATCAGTCAGAATTCACTGATGTAAATATGCTGTGGTCATAAACACAACTGCCCTGTGCACACCTCAAATGTTTAAGAGAATGCTAGTGAACAAACAGAACTGTGAAGACCAAGAAGTATGCCAGTCAAGAACAGGGTTAGATTAAGAGATATCTCAAGCTTTGAAAGTCACATAGGCCACTGTGAGACCTTCAAAAACCGTCATATAAGAATAGGTGGTGCAGCACAAGTGGATACCTACCAAGCCTGGGCTATCCACCTAAGCTAACAGGTTTGACAAGGAACATATATCAGAGAATCAGCTAAGGAGCCCCTCGTAACTAGAGAAGCTGCAGAGTTCCACAAGTCAGTTAAAAGAATCTAAAGAATGAAAAGCAGTGCCGTTTCTTTTCATTTTGCATGCATGGCTGGCAGTGATTAGCTTCACGGTTTGTATTTGTTTAGACAGGATTGAATGGGTTGGGCAGCAAACTAATCGCTCTAGTTTCCAACTTATTTCTAGTATTTGTTGTAACCAACCTAGACTGTGATATTAATCTCAAAAGCTTTGTAATAATCCACAGGTTTATCTCTACAAGCTCATGTGTAACGACAGCTTTGGTTAAAAATCTATAAAGCACATTTTTATTGACGTTGAGTTGCTGAAGCACATTCTACCTAATGCCCGAGCCATACGGTGTCTATTTTTGGGATAGCTTAGAGATAATGCTAGATTTTTTTGTCTGAAAGAACAACGATTTGGATCCTTGAAATTACAAACTTCAATTCCAAATCAAAGCAATAGTTGCTCTCAATTAAACTGACCCACGCACTGCCTGTGGTAGGTATACGGCCGATGGGGTTTCAGAGAAAAGTTCCAGAAGACCGACTGAGTTGTTTCATGTTATACTCTTACAATTTACTACCAGTGGGTTAACTTGCCACAGTGCTTTCAGCTGCTCTGTTTTGCTGGGCTGCTCACTTTTTATCTGGACTTCAGAGACAAGTATGTCTGACGTTGTGCTCCCAAAAATGTGAGGGTCATAAAACACTCACCACTGCTGATTGTAGGCTCAAAGAAGCAGCGGTAAGAGTATCTTCCTTATGACTTCAAGCAAGCTAGCTTTTCTTTCTGTCCGTCTTTGTATTGCTGGCCAATACTAACACAGAATCTACTTATATTTTTCATAGACATTGTGAAAAGCATTAGAATAAATCAACCTTACTTGGATGCTTTAACACAGGTTAATGTAGACTTGGCCCAGTCCACTCAGCTCAATTAAACCAGTTTTCAGTGTTGTGAGGCTTCAGGAATTTGTATTCCCAGTAGGTATATCTGTATAACTTCAGGTAGGTAAAGGTAAAGCATTACTAATTTAGTAATGCATTTCAGCAACACTCAAAGTTCCGAGTGTCATGAAATGCATTAACAATGAAAGCAGCTAAGTACACCACAGTCTGACCTACGTATCTTGCAGCAGCAAGTGAGCATAGAAAGAAAATGTACTCTGCTTAACAAGGCATATATATGTGGTTTATGTGGTTTTTCAGAACATCTGAGACCCTCATTTATAAACAAGTATTTAGATTCTTCAGTAGTGCATGTAAAATGTCCGGAGGCAAAGTTTTTGTTCTTTTGCTAACGACATGTTCGGAACAGTCGCTCAGGTTAAAATATTTATCCCAAAAAATGTTATTACAAAATCTTTAAAAAGAATAGCAATGACCAAAATATGATAGAAGTATACAAGGTTGCTTTGTCTAGCAGAGGATGCACACCATATTGAGAGCCTGTAGTCCCATGTCTACTCTATTTCCTGCCAATCTACAAACGATTGTATTAAAGAATGGTTTAAATTTGAAGCTGGGTCATAATTTTAAACTAAGCCTTAACTAAAACCAATAGTCTTTAAATGTCTAGTCTAGACCTTCTCAAGAAGTTGACTGCATATGGAGTTGGATGAGAAATGCTGGATAAATGCCGAGCTCTTTTAAAAGGAAAACGGAGTACTTTTCAAATTTAAACCACATTTCGCTGATCAAAACACGTTTTGCTCGAGCTAACTAACTTGTATCATCTAACGCGGCGTGTCTGTGTATGCCACTCGAGTCTCAACCTACAATAAAACCCATGTAATTACAGCTCATCCACTGGTTGACAACACTGCGGCAGTGGAGAGGCACCCGTGTTTCCCGTGTGTGGTTGTGTTCCTCTTCATGAACTGCCAGTCATTCTGAGGTTACATATTTTATATGGGGGGAGAAAAAAAATAGATCTGTTCAAGTTCTTGTATTCAACTTTCAGCTATAGTTTGATATAAGTAACAGGGTTGGAGAGAGTGTGTGTGTGTATGTGTGCCTACATATGCTTAGGCTGAGTTTGTGTGAGAAGAGACAAAAATAGACAATCAAGGAGGCAGACAGGTAAAGATAAATTTCTTTTGTTGTTTTGTATTATTTATTTATTTCCCCTCTGAACTGTCACACTCCCTCATCAGGCTGTCAGTGTGTTCTCGGAGGCCCGTTCTGTGATATCACCCGGGGGTGTGGGTTAGCAATCCCCTGGAACTTGTGGAGCTCTGAAGGAAGCTTTTGTGGAGGAGATGGTGCCCCTTGGGAGAATATAGTCGGTGCATTTCAGAGACTGAGTCAGCTCGCAGGTCCCCTGAGTCTTCCCCTCCAGTGGTTGGAAGAAAATGCTTTTTCTCCAACATTTTGTCTCGGGAAGCATCACATACACACACACACGCACACGCACAACATCCCTGCTTCCTTAAATCATCCAAATCCAAATTAAGCCGTAATTTGATTACTCTGTTGCCAGAAAGCAGATTTAAGTATAACTTGTGCTCGAAAGTCGAGCCGGATGATGAAAGCGACTGTTCCGTGGCGCATCAGACAGTTTGCGCAGCAGGAAGGAGAACGATTTCTGTATCGATTTGCTTTGTGTCTGTTTCCTCCTGTCTTTGTGTTAGCTACAGAAAGGCTGTCTGTTGTCTGGTGCTAGTGAATTCTAATAGCCTCGTTTGTCAGAACAGAAGTTAAAGATGGGGAGGCAGTCAGAAGCAAGAACAGAGATTAAAAATTCTAAATGTGGTTTTAAAAACTGACATACATGAATGTTTTTTTTTTTTTTTTTTTGACTAAACATGTTAGCATATCTTAAAAATACAGTCAACATCTCTCCATAAATGTTTTCTGTTGTGAAGGAGGGCTCATCATGTGGTGAGAAACTGGCAGGTCCCCTATCGTAGTCCGTCACACGCGGTCAACATGGCCTTTCCCTGAAGAAGTTAATCTTTTACTCTGTTCTGTGTTTTATTTAATTCTTCAAATACCACCCAACATTAAAAGCTTATGAAGTCAATTTGGCAGTACTCTCAGCTAGCAGCTGTTTCACAGAGCCAGAGTAACTAAGCTAGCAATGCTGCTGAATGTATTTTTTTTATGGCTTCCAGTTTTTATTTTGGTTTGGTCTTCACAAAGCCCCAAGATTCAAAAAAAAAAAAAAAAAAAAACAATTTACCTTTGAATGGTATCTATTGTCTCATGTGTAGTGCTTGCCATACATCACCAATAAGTGTGTGCCCTGCACTTGACAGTAAATCAGAGAACCAGCAGAAACTGCAGACGTGCATTTTAGTTTTCTCCCTATGGTTTCGCCCACTGATATCCAGTCAGGTTAGATGTGGAGTTATTTTAACATAAAACTATTGATCTGTGTAACTTCGAACGTTCATTTTCTGGTATCTCAGTTTAAATTCCAGCTAAGGGGAAGATGCACATAAAAATGGTTAGAGAGCTATCCTTAGTCCGTGAACACCGTTGAATAAGTGATCCTTGAATATCACGTCTTCGCGATAGGGTGCTCTAAAGCCCGCCACTTTTCATATTTGATTATCTCGGCAGTAAAGAATTTAACATTAAATCCCACCCAGAGCGCGGTGCATAAATTTGATCAGTAAATGGCATACAGCATGAGTTAGAAACAGACCTTTTCACATCTATTTTTACCCTATGGATTTGTGAGTCACATTCGGTATATTTTAACCCTGTGCCAGTTTCACTTAACTCTATGTAAATGCTCCCGTAAACAGGCACAAGGGTTCGTAGACGTTACGCGTAAGAACTTAATCTCATTTGTTAAACTATATTGATGTCAAAGGCATGTAAATCTGTGTGATGAGTCGGCCTATATTCATGTGAGCTTGTGAGTTTAAACTGAAAGCATGTAAGGGGCATAGAAGGGGAAAAAACGAGTGAGCTCATCGCCCTGGAGGGCTGCGTTTAAAGCCTTTCCACTCCTCTGTGCTGCTGAAAAAAAAAATAAAAATAACAGGAGTGTTCAACTGTGCCATTAGTTCAAGAGTCAGGGGGGCAAGTCAGATTCACGCTGTCGATCCCCTTCTGCTTTTCGTTTTTAAATTGTTGAACGTGGCATTTATTTTATTGCATTGCCCGCCATCTCACCGAGCATGCCTCTTTCTTTTACCATATGCTGCATTTGCCTGAACAGATTCGAGCGTGGAAGACTTTTCCATAAACTTTGGCTTCCTGCAGATCAGCGGCACAGCCCAATTATCTAAGAATTCCACTTTTAAAGTTTATTGAATAAGTACCAAAACAGAGACTGTGAATACACCTTTGACCTCTTACACACGTGGTAACTGTTAATATTTTGTGTAAAAAAAAAATAAAAAAAAATGGCATGCTCAAATTCTAGATTTTTAATAGATAAATGAAACGCATGTAAGGAAATAAA